TGTCTTATTCTTTCTTCGTTCCATCTACCTCGGTTTATATCAAAATACTCACACACCTTAATATCTCCTCTGTTTCCTTCTCTAGCTTGAGGTGGTCGTGGAGGGTGAGTAGGAAGCCATTGATCTGTCCACATATTCACCAAAGAACCATCTCCTATAATGTACCTCATTCCTTTACTTAAGAGATCCCGACCATGTAGTATTGACTTCCAGGCATAGGAAGCTTTCTTCTTCACATTTACACTCATTATATCCTCGTTAGGGAAATATCTGGCCTTCAAGATGCGAGCCATTAGACAATTGGGGTTTTGCATGATTCTCCACACTTGTTTACTGAGTAAAGCTTGATTAAATATTTGTAAGTCCTTAAATCCAAGACCTCCTTCTCTCTTTGGTATACTTATTCTTTCCCATGAGTACCAATGTAGACCTTTCTTCTCACCAGACCCCCACCAAAACTTTGCCAAAACCGCATTAATTTCATCACATATCTCTTTAGGTAGCTTGAAGATGTTCATGGAAAATATTGGCATATCTACAGCAATAGCTTTCAATAATACTTCTTTGCCTCCATTCGATAAGTGCCTCTATTTCCAGCTTTGAGTAACCGATTTCACCTTGTCCACTATGTATGCAAACATCTCTCCCTTCTTATTAGATACATGGTTAGGTAGTCCCAGATACTTTCCTATCCCTCCATCATTATGTATTCCAAGCAGATGGCGCATCTTAGTCTTGACAGTTGCATTCACCTTAGCACCAAAAGTAATAGAAGATTTGTTTAAATTTATTGCTTGACCTGATACTTCTTCATAGATCCTAAAAATGCTTTTAAGCTTCTTTGCAGCTTTTTCATTTGCCAATGAGAAGAAGAGTGAATCATCAGCAAACAAAAGATGATTCACAGCCGGAGCATTATTTGAAATCCTTACACCCATCAAACTTCTATTACTCATTGCTTGTGTCACAAGATGTGAAAGTACTTCAGCACATAGTATAAAGAGGTATGGGGACAATGGATCCCCTTGACGAAGTCCTCTAGCAGGCGTGATAATACCTTCGGGATATCCATTGATCAGTACCGAGTACTTAACTGCAGTAACACAAGTCATGATCCATCCTATCCAACGATCATCAAACCCCATATGTGTCATTGTCTTTTTGAGGAAATCCCACTCTAATCTATCATATGCCTTCGTAATATCTGTCTTGACTGCCATATAAGATGTAGCCTGTCTCTTCCTAACTTTAAGGCTATGAAAGATTTCATGAGCTATGACAATGTTGTCTGAGATCATCCTTCCCGGGATAAAAGCATTCTGGTTCTCCGATATAATAAGACTTAGGTGTTTCTTAAGCCTGTTAACCAAAACTTTTGTAATGATCTTGAAACATTACATAAAGCTATTGGTCGAAATTCCTTCATACCATTTGGAGGATAAACCTTTGGTATTAAACATAAGTTGGTATGACTGATCTTTGGATCCAGGTTTCCAGAATCAAAGAAATCTTTTATCTCCTTCATTACTTCTTCCTTCACTTCCTCCCAGTAGCTATGAAAAAACACTGCAGTAAAGCCATCAGGGCCTGGTGCACGATGAGCTCCAATGTCCATTACTGCCCTGTGTACCTCTTCTTCGGTAATAGGTCGAGTAATGTCTTGATTCATTTCAGGAGTGACTCTTTGATCAAAGTCTTGAAACACTTTAGCCGTCAGCTCAGGATTAATTTGTTCAGAGGAATATAAATCTTGGAAGTAGTTGATTGACACTCCAGCAATTTCTTTATGTCCTCTGTAGATAACTCCCTGATTGTCTTGTATGAATGAAATGGTATTTCGAATTCTCTTTCCTTTTGTTACCGCATGAAAGTACTTAGTATTGCGATCACCTGATCTCAACCAATGAATTCTGCTCTTTTGTTTCCAGTAGATTTCCTCATCAACATATGCATGATTCAACTCATCTTTAAGTTGTGATCTTCTTTCTTGAGTATATGCAGCAGAGGTCATAGCAGTATCCATCATCGCCTTTAAAGTACCAATTCTCTCCTGTGCATTATTTCTGTTGGTTCTTTTCCATCGGGATATAGAGCTTCTGCACCGGCTTAACCTCTGACTCAATGACATATGCACAAATTGACTCTGTCCTGTTCCTTGCCATCCACGTTTAACTGATTCAGAAAAGCCTTCCTTATCTAACATCCGACTATCAAACCGGAAATTCCTTCGAGGTTCTTCACGTTCTGTACTTATAAACGTCACCAAAGGTCTGTGATCCGATTCACCAATTTCTAAATACTCCGTTTGAGATGCAGGAAACATATCAAACCAAGTGTTATTAGCCATGGTGCGGTCTAAAGCACATTGAACCAAATGAGACCCTCTCTGTCCAGCCCAGGAAAGTTTATTACCAACAAACTGCAGATCAGTGAGCTGACAAGTCCTCATCATCTGTCTAAACTCCTGAAAAGAAGCTTCAGGTCTCTTACGTCCTCCCTCTTTCTCATGATTTCCAAGTATTTCATTGAAATCACCCAATAGGAACCAAGGTTGTTGTTGTCTGTTTAAACTTAGTCTTGTAAGCTTCTCCCAAGTATGATGTCTCAACGAAGGGTTAGGATGACTGTAGACAAACGAATAATTGAAATTCATTCCATTGAAATCAACAATACAATCTACAAGATGAGGTGATTGACTAATCACTCGGAGTTGAACAGATTGCTTAAAGAAAATCACTAAACCACCTCCAACACCAGCCGGTGGAACTATTACTGAATTGGGAAATCCTAACTGAACACCTACATCACGTACATAGTCTGCTTGTTGTTTTGTTTCTGACAAACACAGAATGTCCAGGAGATATTTTCTGCTAATCTCCTTTAGGCGTCGAACCGTCGAGTCTGTTCCTAGGCCTCGACAGTTCCAGCAGGCTGTCCTCATGGTGGAAGTGGTGGTTCAGGGCCCACCACGGCTCTCATCTTGTCTGACTCCTCCTGACATGAAGCATCCTCACAGTTAGCTTCTGAAGTCTGTTCCTTGTTCTTCTTCGTCCGTTTAGCAGTACTGGACTCCCCAATTTCCCCCTTAAACCTCTGTTTTAGCTTCAAAGAATTTTCTTCAGCACTTGTCAGCCAATCTTTGCGCTTAAGATTCATCACAGCTTCCATAGAACTTGGGAAATGTCCACCAATAGAATGCATCGGATTGTACATGTCTACCTGGTGCACATCATTGGAGAACATTGTTTGTTTCCCACGTCCATCCCACAACTCTGGGTCATCAGCTTCCTCTTCCATCTGCCTTATGCTTCTCTCATACTCCTCCTGCTCAGAGTCCACCGGTTCCATATCTGCTTCCACGTTCTGTCTCTCTGGTCCATTATCTTCATTTCCAGCCACAACACCATCTTCTGCATTGATCTCCTCAATAATTATTCCTTGGTTAGGAACAAGCTCAATGTCCTCATCGTCCCCCCCCCCCCACTATCATTGTTTCCATCATCATTTCCATCTCCACCGTTTTGAATTAAGCATGCACCTGAGTCGTGTGTCAGCATACCACATATCTCACAGAAGCCCCTTAGTCTCTCGTAGTGGAGTTTAAGGAGCGTGTTGACTCCAGGTTGGAATTGAAAATTTCTCTGAAACTTGAGGGGGTTAGCCACGTTCCAGTTTAACCTGACCCTGACAAACTCCATGCGATGGCCAACCTCCTCATTGTAGTCCATCTGGATGTAATCTCCTAGGGCACGAGCAATGTGAACAATCACTGAGCGGTTCATATATTGAAGTGGAATGCCTTTTATCTGGATCCAAAAAGGAATAAAGTTGAGCATCGACAGATCCATTAGGGGAGTCCATCTCTGCAATACGAGCATATGCTCTGCATAAGCCCATGGACCCCTACGAAGCACCATATCCATTGCTTCCTCAGATGGAAACACAAACTGGAACCGTCGTCCTTTAGTAATTCTCCCACGAACAACTCCTTCAAAGCCCCAGTTACGAGGCATAGTTGCAATGATTGCGCGGATATTTTGCTTTCTTGGCATCACTGGACGTCCAATGAGAATAAAACGGTTCTCCTCTTCTGCCTGTCGGACCACATCAACCGGTAAAGCAACCGGGACATCTTCAGCACCAAGTGTGACATCTTGTAGGGCTCTGCGTATGTTGTCAGCCATTGATTCGAGTAATTTAGTGAAACACCAAAGTAAAGAGATCTTCTTTGGTAAGAGGTTAGAAAGGAATTTTTGAAGTAAATCCCTTTCTGGACAATGTTCATATAGAAAATCACTCCAAAACCGCTTAGCAGTTACTTCCTCTCGAACACAGACACGATGTGTTGTGGAGATATTTGACATCATGGTTGGATTTGGTGACAAAACCTCCCCGATATTGTGGAAATCATCATCAACCACCCAGAAAGTGGCGAGAAATTGAAAAAACTGAAACCGTTTTCTTGTCGCCATTCGCTGAAATTATAATTTCATTTTATTAGTATAAGACTGTACTTGACCCGTTTATTTTAAAATGGAAGACAGTGAACCTTTTTTTTGTCAACGGAAGACAGTGAATTACTTTTAAAGTTTTACCTTTACCACAAACGACGTACAGGCTTGAAAGGGAGAAAATTTTAAAACACGACGAAAAAGCATTTGATTAGACCCATATATGAGATTAGCAGGTCATAAATGGGCCAGACACTTCATAGGCCCAAGATAGGCCTTATTAAGCCCATATGATCTATAAACAAAAGACTGACTTAGATGTCGTGTAAGAAAAGTACATCCCGTAGATAAGTACGACATTCGAATTTCACTTGTAATAAACAAACAAGCTTTCAAACTTTAATTTCCACAAAGACGACGACTCTTTACTTCTTTGTTAATACTATTCCAACTAACTTGTTATTACAAAGTAACTTCCTTCAAAGAAAAAAGTCAAACTCGGTTTTGTAAGGAGATACCGAGAGAGAGAGATTGATCCATCGCATCTCCATGGAAACAGCAAAGCGTAAAACAATAGAAACCATCGTCTCAAAACTCAGCTCCGTCTCCGAGCAAACCAGATCCTCCGCTTTAGCCGAGCTAAGACTCATCTCCAAACAAGATCCCGACAGCCGCTCCATCATCTCCGACGCCGGAGCCATCCCTTACCTCGCCGAGACTCTCTACTCCTCCTCCCCTTCCTCCCAAGAAAACGCCGCCGCCACTCTCCTCAACCTCTCCATCACATCCCGCGAACCTCTCATGTCCTCGCGCGGCTTGCTCGACGCGCTCTCCCACGCTCTCCGCCACCACGACACCTCCACCTCCCCCGCCGCCGTCCAATCCTCCGCCGCCACGATCTACAGCCTTCTAATCTCCGAGGAGTCTTACCGTCCCGTCGTCGGATCGAAACGAGACATTATCTTCTCCTTGATCCACATCATCAGGTACCAAGACTCGCATCCGAGATCGATCAAAGACGCGTTGAAAGCTCTCTTCGCCGTGGCTCTCCACCCGGAGAACCGCTCCACGATGATCTCGTTAGGCGCGATCCCCGCGCTCTTCTCGTTGATCGTGAAGGACTCGAGGTGCGGGATCGTGGAGGACGCGACGGCGGTTATGGCGCAGGTCGCGGGGTGTGGGGAGAGCGAGGAAGGGATGAGGAGAGTCTCTGGAGCCAATGTGCTTGCGGATCTGTTGGATCCGTGCACTGGCTCCAGCCTTAGGATCAAGGAGAACGCGGTTAGCGCGCTTTTGAATCTTGCGAGGTGCGGTGGGGATGAGGCGCGTTTGGAAGTTGCGTCTGCGGTTGCGTCTGGTGCGGATGAAGGTGCTATGGAAGGGATTTTGTATGTTGCTGAGAATGGGAGTGATAAAGGAAGGAAGAAGGCGGTTGATCTGTTGAAGCTCGTTTCGGACGATTCACGTTTTGATCATCTGATTAATGATGATAATCCGAGTAGTATCTGATCATCTGCTTATCAATTTGTTACACTTTGCTAATCCATTACTTCATTCAAACAACACTATATGCATATAATGTAATGTCATTGTTACACTTTGAACATGTTTGTTTTCAAGAAATGAATCGAGAATCTTTTTTTTTCTGTACATGGTTTGTTTCATTGTCTCATCAATGATGGTAATCTAACTAGTATATGATCTGCTTATCATTTGTACACTTTACTAATCCATTACTTTCATTCAAACCACACTTTATGTACACAATGTAATGTCATTGTTACACTTGAATCAAGAATCAAGAATCTTTTTTTGTACATGGTTTCAAACGTCGAATTGAAGAACTGGTTTGTACAGCGTTTGTTCTTCACCGAGCAATAACCCGCGTAGAATCGCATCGCAAGTGCCATCGTAATGGACGATGAGATGTCCACCTTGAGGGATCTCGTGGTAGTTGATCAGAGGTTGCTTCTGGAGAATGCATCTTTGAAGCTGACACGGGACAACTTTGTCTTCCTTTCCATGCCAGATGTGAACAGAGCTCTCTTCAGTGATGCTTAGATCTGCTGGTTCGAAATCCCATTGCCCGAAACAAGCCACGAGGTCGTCTCTTAGAGTATTGAAAACGTTTCTTTCCCGTAGCTTATCCTATAAGGTAGAGACACATACATGTTACAACTGAATCGTCATTCATCACTACAAAACCACAAGTTAAGAGTGTGACCTTAGTAAGCATGGGAAAGCCGGAGGTACGCTTGAGCACCTCCATGTCATGGCTGTTGAAGTAGACAGGATTGCTCTCAAGAACCGAACTATTTGATGGTATAACCTTTTGTACAACCCACCAATGTAACAGACCAGGTGCAAATCTTGATATCCTTAAACACCATCTGATAATACCTCTCCTGTAGTCTTTCTTTATAAGCTTCTTAGGAAGTGACGGCCACCGATAGTTCACAACTGGAGCAACAAAAGCTACACCAGATAGCCTGCAAAAGAAGATAGAATATTATCATTGGTTACTTAAACAATTCATAACTTATTTGGTTTAAGGAGTGATGATTGCCTGTGAGGTATGTGTTTTAAGCAACCCCAAGTTGGGTAAGACCCCATGGAAATTCCAATGAGGTAAAACTTAGGTCCTATCTCCAACTGGTCTGCAAGTTCTGTTATGTCATCAACTTCACTTTTTAGGGAACGTTTTGTGTTTGCATCCGAGTCTCCATATCCAGAACGGCTGTAGAATAGAAGATACACTCCTAGTTCCTGTATAAGCTCCTGAAAAACTAAATCCAGTTCAGTTTTTTTTTTTTTACCAAAGAAAGAAAAATAACAGAGGTTTATCAAATATTCAGACAGGATCTAAAGAGTATGTTTTACTTTTGAGGCAGAGAAGTTCATATCTTTAGAGCTACCAAAACCATGAACAAGAATGATTTTGTATTTAGCTTCCTCCTTTGGAACTCCTCTTTCTTTGTAAGCTAAGAATCTCCCATCACGAAGCTTAACTCTATTTGAATTTTCACAAGAATCCCCCATCAACACGGATAGTCACTAGACAAGCAGACAAATGTTTTTTTAGCTGTAACATTTCAAGATTATTGGGAAAACCAAGAACACCACAAGATTAAAGAACAGAAAAAGACATACCAGAAGAGAAGATAATTTGCCTTGAATCTGGGAGGAACACAAAACAGTTTGAATGGTCAAAGATGTGATTTATTTTTATCTTAACGTGCACAAGATAATGATAATGATGATTGATTGATAAAGAAGATGGCTACTTGTTGAAAAAGCAAGTAGCCCCCTCCTTGGTGTATAGAATTTGAATAGGAATAAAGAATTTAGAAGACCAAACCAAATATTCCTCTTCTGATTCCCTTGGCTGACATAAAAAAAAAAATTCTCCAGAGTTTATCTTTTGGCTGCCTTACTTTAACACCTTTTGTTAAACTCCAGACGCCACTGTCATATTCACCAATCTCAGTTTTTGCTTCTCCCACAAGTTAGCGTTTTTGCATATGAAATTTAGAAACTTCCCGTAATAATTCCTTGGAAATAGAAATTTCCCTAACATCTAACTTTTTTTTTGTTTGGAATTTGGGAATATTCCTTATCTCAAAGGTTATACTTTCTATCAACATAAAAATCTAGCCCCAACTCTTGGATGCCATGATACATAACTGGTTTTGGGTATAAAAAACGTAATGGGCTTTTAAATTGTCATGAAATATGGGCTTGTTTGGTCACGAGCCTGCCTGTCTGTGTGCAGTATATGACAATGAATGACTAAAATGGTTACGTGAAGAGAAAGCAAGTAGCCAGGCTGGAATGGATAAAGAAACTGAGAAGAACAAATAAAATAATCTCTTCTGATTCCTTTGACTAAACCATCTCTCATGGGTTTAATACATTCGCTTGGTGTCTTTACATCTTAATTTAAGTTCATGCCACTGCCAACTTACCAATCTCAGTCATTGCTCCCACAGATTTAGCTTCTTACACATGCTTATGAATTTGGAAACTTCCCCTGAGAGCATTTAGAATTCAATTTTGGCGCCGTTTCGCTGATTGGGCATGATAATCATTAACCTGAGATGACCTTCTTGGCATAGCTTGACAAGGTTCCTATGCTGTGTGAGGATGGCATTACTGTTGCCTAATAAAACATGAGCAATCACGTAACTCTCTCCTTTCTCATTTGCAAATTGCCATTCCTTAACCGTCAAGTTGAAAGAATCTTTAGCTGCTGATACAGTTGCTTTCACCTCTATGTACTCTTTCTTCCCATCTCTGTTTTTGATTACTAGGTCGTAAGGTAACCCGGTTTCGCTCTGCTCGTTTACCCAACTAACCACAGCCTCCCTGCCGTATTTTGCAGCATAGTATCTGAAAGCAATCTCTTCACCTTTTTTACCAGTCTGTTGAATCTGTGTAGCCCAATCTGTGCCAGTGTGAAACGGCTCTCTCGTGCTGAAGTCAGTTGAGATGGAGTTATTCCATTCATGAACAAGATTCCCTGACGTTGAGCCACTCCTCATGGTATGCAATGGGATTGGCTTCGTAGTTCGTGAACTTGTGCCTGCGCAATTATCATATCCAGCAACCAGGTTTCTATTTGCGATCTCCATTGGTTTCTGTTCCTCAAGAGCCTCTGTTAGAAGCTCCCTCTGATTAAAAGGGGAAAAAAACAAAGTTACTATTCAATTACGGCAACTTTTTTTCCTTCAAGAAAGGGAAATGAATGTTTCCTGATACTTGAAGAAAGACAATGCAGCAGCCCACTTATGGTATATACTAAACCAGATGTTTTTTGCACAGGACATGAAACCAGATGAGTTTTTTTTGGATGATGTCAAATTCAGGTGTAAAAAGAAACAGCACGGCAGAATTTCATTAATGCAACCAGGTTTCAGTCTCAGACATTCCCCTACAGATGTCACAAGGACAGAATCTGCAACCTGAGATCTTGGAAGGTTTCCATTAATTACTTTAAGAAGATAATATTGAGACGAAGTAGGGACTGCAATAGAGAGGGGCGCAACATTTATCCTTTATCAGCCTGCCACAGTGCAGAATCAAAGAGCTACGCTGAACTAGGGAATCTTTTACATTTTCTGAACTCAACTCCAAGACTTTGCAACTGGGTGCTAAGTCTCAGCGCAAGAACAGGGACGACTGAACCACACATACACACAAAAAGTGCACTATAAGAAACAGAAAAAATAACAAAAGTAACAGCTTAGAACCAAGTAATGAGCCTATGTTGCACAGTATAAGTCAATTATCTTTTCAACTTAGCAAAAAAATAACAAAGAGTGAAAATATATATACTCAAATTATCCCGCATCCTTCACTTTTGAGAATATATACCCACTTCCGACGGACATAGACTCATAAACGACATCATTTGGGACCTTCAAGCTATTTTGCAGAGAAAAAAACAAGTGTTTCCAAAATAGGGAATAGATAGGTTACTTGAGAAGGGCAACTTCAGAAATAAAAATATGAGGACTAACAGAGACTGCTAACAAAACTCTTCGGTTGACTTAATAATACAAGGAAACAAAGAAAAATGCATCTCAGGAAACCACACAAAGGGTAAATGCAGATAAAGTTAAAAGTTAAGTTATATGGCCACTGACTCACAGCGACATGTAGTAATCCAACAAATGGAAACGATGACATCGCTTTAGCTCTCTTCTTCTGAGGTTGTACTTCTGAGCCTCCCAAGTTGTAAAAAGACAAAATCTTTCCCACAAACTACGTACAAACATTAGAGAATAAACAAACATTCAGCCTCACAGCTCTTTCGCTTTAGATAATTCACTATCAGATTCGAGCATAAAGACTTTTATCTGATATATGCGTCGAATCTCCGAAATACTCAACATGGACTTACCATTGACATGCTTAGCTCTTTACATGTGTCCTTCCAAGTCGAAATGAACAATCTCAAAGCTCCTTCAGAAAGTGTGAAATCAGCTTCATTGACACTGAAAACCTGCTTAGTATCAGAATCATCCGCCACTTTAGGTATCTCTCCTCTACGTAATTTAGAGGGGCTACTTCTAAGCTGTTTCGACGAATCAGATTTTTCATGACTACGAGTTTCTGCCTTCCTTTTCTTAGTGTCTGCTTTCCTTTTCTTTTTAGACCTCCCAACTTTCTTCATCTCTTCTGCAACAGATGGATATGGACAACTACTGACATGGTCAGAGTTATTAATATATTTAACCTCATAATCGCCACTATCATCATCATCTGAGCTCGATGAATTAAATTTTGTAAGCTTGCCAGAAAAATCCTTCTGATGTACAGCAGCCAAGTCATTATGCTCAGAGACGGTAATGGATTTATCTTGCCGTTGTTTCTTAGATGAGAGGATGTGATCCTTCTGATGCAGTCCAGTCAGCAAGGTCTCCATTGTTTCCCCTTCTTGTCTCTTTGCATCTTGAATGAAAGATACATACATCCTATAAAACAGTCAGCTATAATCAGCTAATGCGGCTTAACCTACAAAAACTAAAAAAAATAAAATGGAATGAGAAAAACCAAAAAAAAAAAACAATATCATACCCCAAGCTCTTAATACGAACACCAAGCTTTTCCTTGCTTGTGACCGACTTCTTCTCAGCAACAAAATTAAGGAAGTCATCAACCTTAACATCCTCCATATCACAAGTGTCCAGGTAGCTATCAAGAAATGATATTATCTCCTCGCTAGTGATCTGAACTGGACCAGAAGAACCGGAAATAGACGGAAAATACAACAATACAAGTGGATGACGCAGCAAAGGTCCCAACTTTAAATCATCAAAACAATCAACAAACTCGTTTCGGCATATAGCAACTTCCAAATCATGCAGAGTCACGATCCCTCTAGCGCCAATGAAGCAGTGAATAAACGCATATATCTACAAAAAAAAACATCATGAAAGATACATACTACTAAAGATTCAAATGGTTAAACGAAAAAAAAGAATCAACTTTTTGAGTTGATTTCTATTAAAATAACAAATCCACTGTTATTTTAAAAACACCTTAAACTCCACTGTAGATTTTAGAGTGTTTTTAAGTGTTTTAAAAAGTTTCTTAATTATAAAAAAATTATAGAAAAAAAAATATCAAAGAGAATATGAAAGGTCATGTGACCATGCTTTCATCTAGTATGGTGCGAATTCGAACTAGCATCCCTTTGGAGATGCATGGAACGCCTTGACAACCAACCACAATCATAGTAGTTAATTATAAAAATTATAATTCAAATATTAGATAAGAATTCAAATTGATTTAACAAAAAATCACATCAAACTTTCAGATTCAACTACAATCAATCTTAAAAAACCCATTAAAAATCAATTACTAATACACCCCTAAGTTCTTTACCTTGCCTTCAAGGGTCATAAGTTGACGTAGCGAAGGAACATCGTGCATCTGCATCCCCAAGGATCGCTGAGAATCAGGCTTTAGCTGTGCTACAACAGATTGCGACACTCTACTCGAAGAAACGTTCTCTCCAGCATCAACCAGCGATCTACGCGTCTCCTTGACGGCGTTATCGATTCGCATCGAAGAATTCTCCGAAGATCCATGGATTCGAGACCAAGCGTTATCACCGCTCTGCGGAAACTGGTGAGGACGGAAGGTTGGGATTTGTGGATGAGGGAAGTTGAGATTCTGCTGGGTTTGGAGATTGTATCTAATTGGTTGTTGGATGTTGAAATTGGAGTAGGGACCAGTGGGTTGAGGATGGTAACCGCCGCTTCCACCGTTTGTGGAGGCGCGTAGGGGCCACGAACCGTCGCGATTCCCTTGCATTGATCGGCGCGCGAAAAAGCGAACTCTTCGAAAAAATTATATTTATTGGAGTGAAAGAGAAGGAGGATTAGGGTTTTAAGGTCAAACGTACGGAGTCTCTAGTTGACTCGGAGGGTTTAAATTAAAACGTACCGGATTAAATTCTGGATCCGGTTTAACCTTCTTGGTCTAGTCGTATCAATACTGCAGCACACCTGAATCCCATTTTAGAGATAACCTTTTCTTTATAAAAAAAAATAAAATTATCAAAATTTATATGTTTTTGTTTGGTATTTTAAGACAAATAAGAACACAGAATACTGCAGCCCACCTGAATTGTCTTGTGTGGGAATGGTTGGCTAGCGGTTTAAGACGGTTCACAAAAAGATAAGCTCGTAACCATAAATGTCGCATTCAATTAAACCATACATTTTCCCGTGAATGATTATCTCACACACATACACTGAATAAGCTTGTAGTTTCGCTTCATGATTACTGTACTTCAGTTTATTTAATTACAAAGATCTTTTAAGTATTTTATTCCTTCAGGTATTGACTACTCTGCCGTTACCTTCAACATTTTCTGCGGCGAAGATCTTCTTTTTCAATGTATTTTATACTAAAATCTTGTGCTTATAGGTCAAACTCCACTAACCTCATTCTCTTTCAGATTAATCTTTCCAACTACTAATCTTTCATCATTATTTAAAACCTTGAATCTATAAATATATCATTTAAATTGTATATTGGAAGCAAGTATATATCTCATTAAGCCTTTTTACAAGAAAAAGTATATCTCATTGCTTTGATTAATATAGTGGTTATGCAAACCAAAGCCTTTCAGCAATCACTCGAAAATTCCAAGTTAATTTCGACTTAACACGAAAGACATATCAATCAATATGTTAGAAGTCTTAATTAGTGGAAACTCAGTTATATGTAAATACTAAATACTATAAGTACGTCATTTCATTATTGTGCTTTAGTTTTCCTCACAGAAAAAGTACAAAGCATGAATTGGATGATACGGTATTGATTAAAACTTTTAGGTTTTCATGATTTTCAGGCACATAATACCAATTATAAACTAAGTTCCAACCGTATGTTGCCCGTTAGGTTAATTTTATCTATTATAAGTATAACATGGAGTTGAGTCGTAGAAAACTCTTAGAATAGTATAATACATCATCATCAAGTTCGTGTAATAGCAAATTTTTTTTTTAACTGAGGCTTGTAATATCTGCAACTTGAATCATTAAACGTCAATAAAAGAGAACGCGTGAGTTTATAGTAATTCGCTTTTATCATTCACCCCTTAAAACACGGCTAAATTAAAATGATGTTGAAATTGTTGTTTTGATGTAATGATGAAGTTTTTCTTCGCCGGTCTATATGCACTTAGAAGATAATTATGACTATAAAATGATATCGTATTTGTTTGGGTATAAGATGTTACATAGTAATACCAACGGAGTAATGGGAAAGGAAAAGAGTGTAAAGAAGAAAAAAATGTCTCAATGTATATGAGTCTTAGGATTCTCTTTCACTGAAAAAGCCTTGTGCTGGTGCCTCTCCTTTTCACTATATGAAGTAAGACCCACCACACTATTGTAAAGAAAATTACACTCTTTTGCTCCTTAGTGTAAACGCGTTACGTAGACACGTGCGACCATTATCATATGATATCTAAATTATACGTGTTGGGGTAGGAAGAAAAAAATACAAAACCAAGGGACCTATTTTGACGAACCTACACAGTACACACACATCAGGAAGGTTGAATGATTATATAAAGTTTTTACTAACCCTACGCATATTCGTGGGAGAGAGCGAGAAAGAGAGAGGGGAGAGAGAGAGATGAGTTTGAGGAATCTTCATGAGATGGGTTTAAGTTTTGAATCCCCAAGCTTCATTGAATGGCTTAAAGCTCCATCGTCTTCTTCTTCTTCTTTGTTATTTCGTATCAAGACCAAAGATGTTATATCGACATCGAACCACCAGAGTATGTTGGAAAGATCTCTATTCTTGTACCAACCTCAAGAACCACTCAAAAAGTCTATTCAATGCTTGCCTCTTCTAAACAAGCTCATGGAAAACGAAAGTCAAGCTTTGGATGATATCAAAGAAGAGAAGGATGATGATCATGTGGTTACTCTCCAGATCGGATTGCCTAACTCGGTGGATGATGACTCTGATACAACATCTGATCATCATGAGAAGAACCCCATCAAGAGAGAGATAATAGATGATGGAGTGGTGATGATGAATAAGAAGAGAAGGAAGATGATCCTTGATGAGGAGATGAATGATTTGGATATGGAAGTCTGTGGCAAGAGGTTTTGGATACCAAGTCCTGCTCAGATTCATGTCGGTCCAATGCAATTTGCTTGCACTATTTGCAGCAAAACCTTCAATAGGTACAATAACATGCAGGTATGTCTTCGATCTCTCTTATCATCTTTATCTCCTAGATGTTTTGCCACATATCCACTAGTTTACCAAATCATGCATTATGTCAAAACGTTTATCACTTGTGTCATATTAACAAACAAGAAACATTGTCACTATGTCAACTTTACCTTTGCCTTTGTACATTGTAATATTCATAGGGTGTTTCATTTAGAATTATATTTTTACTAAAAGAAAGATTTTAAATAGATGTACCTTTATTTCAAAACAACTTTTAGCCCCTCACAAATACAAATACATGATCTTTATTCTGAAGAAAAAACAGAATAAAAAATAAACTTTGATTTCAAATATAGGAGTACTGAACTAACATCCATTACATACAATACGTAGGACCTTTTTGTTGTTGTAAATTAAAGATTATGAAACTTTAATGACTTAATTATTACGGTAAGTAATCTCGGTTGGTAAATCATCGTAGTAGTAGATATACAACCTCAATCACCTAAAAGATAGTTTGGGTATATAACTTCTGGATTAGTTAAGAAATCTTCATAAATCTTTTGACTTTTTTTCATTTTTTGCCTTGCCTTTTTGGTTGAAAAGCCAAAAAGCAAAAATAATCAAAGTGGTGGGATTTGGTAAAGTATATAATTCAGAAAGAAACAAAAAAGGAGAAAAAAAACAATGATCACACTACTTTTACTGGATCTGTGCAATCGATTACATGTTACAAAAAAACAAATGCAATCGATTACTTAACCTAATGATAATATGAGTAAAAGCCCTCTAATTAGGTATCATTGATTCATATCTTCTTTACCATATACGTAATTATATAAACTTGTTTTCCTCCCAACTTTAATTTTACAAAACAGCAAACCAACCCCTCTTTTTAAGCAGGAGACACATTTTTCTTCCACTTCAATATGTATGGTTTCTTTACTAAACTTGTGGGCGACTTATACGTTAGAAAGTGTACTCCTAAGTTGGACAAACATTAGAGTCCTATTTATAACAAAATATATAAACATAAGTAAAGAAGTTATCCATATCTTTAAAAAAAAAACAAATTATCCACATCTATGCAATGATATATATTACGTTTCTAATGAATTAATATAAACCAACACAGATGCATATGTGGGGACATGGATCAGAGTTCAGAAAAGGAGCTGACTCATTGAAAGGCACGACACAACCAGCAGCTATCCTGCGTCTACCATGTTACTGCTGCGCGGAGGGATGCAAGAACAACATCAACCATCCACGTGCGAAGCCCTTGAAGGATTTCCGTACACTTCAGACACATTACAAACGTAAACATGGCTCCAAGCCTTTCTCTTGCGGAAAATGCGGCAAAGCATTGGCTGTTAAAGGAGACTGGAGGACTCATGAGAAAAACTGTGGGAAGCTTTGGTATTGTACATGTGGATCAGATTTTAAGCACAAGAGGTCTCTTAAAGACCACATCAAGTCTTTTGGTAATGGACATTCTCCTCACCCTTCTCTTTCGTTTGGTGTGTTTGAGGAGGACACGGAATGTGTCACCACAGAATGATAAACACGTGAGGGCTGTGGGAATCATCGGATCCGTATAGGTAAGATCTGAATTTTCAAATGTTGCTTCTAAACTATGCATGACCACAGAAACATCTCAAGTCTAACAAAGAATTTCTATCTTGAAAAAGGGAGAAATTCTTTGTTAGACTTGGACTAAATACATCAAAATATAACAACTTAGCATAGAAAAGGAAGCAACATTTTAAAAGTTAGATCTTCTTATTGGGATATCTTTACGATGAGTCTACAGTAGAAACTGCTGTTTATCAAACACTTGTAAAATTTGAGGTGAGCGTTTTAAATATTTGTGTGTTTAGCTTTCTATTACCATGCATGTAAGGGTGTTTTACGACTTAAATAACCTTATGAAAATGCTCACTAACAAAAACTTCTCTTTCTCCGAGGGATGTATTTGTCGGGGAGCATTTTGTTGCTTGTGTAAACCCCTAATTAATTATCTAAGTGGTTAGTAATTAATAAGCTTGTTTGCTTCCAGTCTTATTTAGGGTTTCCTTTTTTTAATAAGGGTGGTTATCTTGTGAAGCACGTAAATTTTCTGTTTCTCTTATTCATGTATTTGTATTAGAAGAGAAAATTGGTGTGCTTCACTTCATTGTTGTATGATAATCCTCAATAGAGTCTCTTCCTATGTATTGTAATCTCTCTTTTTATCACATCGCAAAGTTACAAAAAATATAGATAACACATCATTCGGAACGATCTCAACTTTGCCTTCGGCTTAGATTGACATCATGTAAGAACATCGTCTAAATTTACCATACATTTGCGCATCAATATGTGTGACAAGACAAATCGAAATCGTATAGAACACTCTTACCCTCTCCTCGCAACTCCTCGATCTCAAGCAAAATCTTTCTGACAAGAGCACAAGCTTCTTTCTGACAAAACTTCTTTTAATGGTATACACTATACTTCAATGGTAAACCTTCACCAAAGGAATCTTAAACGCTTTCGGCAAGAACGGAACGGCCCTGGGATTGTTTTCCAAGTCATGATACAATCTATACTCAGCTTCATAATCATGAAGCTTCAACTCACCTTTCTGATTCGTATGATAATGATGCTTAGTCAAATTCGACTTCCCAAACCCGAAAACACTAACTTTCTCACAAACCCCCACCGCAAGCATCACAGCCTGCATACCAGACGAGTAATGAAACAAAGACCCTTCATGACCTTTACTCCAATCCCCAAACCCTTCTTTCTTCTCTTCCAAGAAGTTCTTCACAGAGTAATACTTCACGATTCTAGCGCACAGTACGTCGAATCTAGGGTCAGTGATCACCAGAGGAGCTTTATGAGATGGTTTGCAAACAGTGTAGTCCAATATATGAATCGGTTGGCAAATGTACATCACGATAGGGATTGATTCTCCGTAAGGATGGCAGTTGCAACGGTCTCTTCTCGCGCATTGATGTAGAATGTTACTGTTTATGAATGATATACTCGTTTTTGATCCGACTTTGTGTTCGAAACTCTGCGTTTTAGCGTTGTTGAGACGGATCACTATCTCGTGTTTATCGATTACGTCACCGTATTGGCGGTTAAGCAATGTACCACTGTTACCAACCACCGCACAAGAAGTATATCTTCTTTCACTAACGACGCCGTTTTTGACTAGTTTGATTAAATCTAGCATTACGTCAGGATCGTAAGCTTTTTTGGTGCGAGTCCAGAGCCTAAGGTTTCTCTTGAACTCTGACCAGTAACGAGAGACTTGAGAAGAGCGAAGCGTTGTTACCGGAAACTTGGAAGGGACGTATCTGCCGCGGCGGCGGAGGCTATCGATCGGTCTCGAGATGGAGCTGAAGTATCGGCGGTGGCTTCTCCGAGTGTTGTCGTAATCGGAGATCAGATCGACTTCCTGGTTGAACTTCGGCTCTCCGGGATCGACGGCGGCGAACTCGAGCAAGGTTTCGTTGAACACGATCTCCTCCGTCGTCATGAATCCGGAGGTGCTACCGAGCTCGGCGATGGCGGAGCTGAAGGTGAAGCTTCTCCGGCGAATCGCGACTCTGCAGATGAGTGTGGCGGCGAGGAAGCAGAAGAGGATGGCGCTGAAGAGAGGTCTAACGGATCTTTTCATCGGATCTTAGGTGTAAATCAAAATCTCCACCAGGGCTATAATGGTAACTACGAAGCTTAACGACTCCATTATCAGGAATCTGAAGTCAACGAGAGGGAGACGACATTGTTTGAGATTTAAATGAAGTAAGGGAAGGTGTGTGACAGAGATTTGGCAACCCCAAAAATGGAGATCTGGAGAAGGAAGTTAGATCCGTCGATTGAATGCAACTAACATTTAATTAATCTTTTCCTTTTTCTGGTAGATGACGCAGCACCCATGTTGTGTCCCCCCTTACGCTTTGGAGAGCTGGAGTAGAGAGATAAAGTGTGTGTGTGGGTGGGTAGTTTGTTAATTTATTTTCGTTAATTTTTTTTTTTGAACGACTAATAAACTTATTGGATGGATAGAATTTGAAATATATTTTAGATATAGGTATATAGTAGGTGTTTTATCCGCATTTGTTGGCTTAATAATTTTACTAATATCAATAAATAAATATATAATCAATTTAAGTAAATTATAATAAGTTACTGTTCATACACTAAAAATATTTAGTAATAAACTAAAAAAATTCTTTCTATATATAAAATTTTTCATCATCATAAAAATAATTTTCATTATACAAATTAAATTTGAAAAGACTCATAAATTTAAAATATTTAGTAATAAACTAATATCAAATTTTTAGACATAACAAAAAAGTAAAATCAAACTATCTTTTATTTCATAACATAAAATTAAAACACTCTTGTATACATAAAATTATATAGAAAATATATATGTAGGGATTTATTTTTATTTTATTTTAAAAAGTAATAACACAATATAAAATATTATTTGCAAAGTAATTTTTTATAATTAATTATATATTAACAAATATAATTATTTTCAAGGTTGATAAAGACTTTAAAACACAATATAAAAGAATTAGATAAGGATAATTGACTTTATAACACAATATACAAAAAATTAGATAAGGATAACTATCAAATAAAAATGAAAATCGTTTTTAATTATTTTTCAAGGTTGATAAAGACTTTATAAGACAATATAAAATATTTTTAGATAATGATAATTGTAAAATCATTGAAATTTGTTTTTTATTATTTATGTTTAGTTAATTATTGAAAATTTTAACTATTCATTAAGGCTATAAACGATATTAACCACTCTAACCTTTTAACGTGAGAACTCTGTTGCGAGAAATCACTTCGCAAATATCATTAAGGGTATAAACGATATTAACCAGTCTAACTTTTAACGTGAGAACTCCGTTGCGAAAAATCACTTCGTAAATAATAGTGTAGATTATTAAAATAGAAGTACAAATATGAATTCATTCCAAAATTTATAACTTATTTATAAATCAATGCCATTAAAGTATTAAATAACTCTAATTTTAAACAATCAGTGTCTTTCCTATTTTATTAAATTATTTTCTGAATCAAGTTTAGTTAAACTTTTGTGATCAACATATTTCCTAAAATAATTTAGATAAATTTCAAAAAAAAAAACTCAAGTTTGAAAACATTTTTAATAATATCATATATATTTCTCAAGTATCATATAAATTCCACACATTTAGCTTACAAAACTTAAAATATATGTATTTTAATTTGTTTAAAAATATATTTTATACAATAAAATCTATTGATGTTTATAATGGAATATTTTTTTTTTTATGTAGCTAAATTTTGTCATATGATCTATATTGAATTAAAATATTTAAAATATTATTATATTTGAGAAACGGTTTTGTGTTAAAAAAATATTATTCAAATATATCATTTGTTCAATGTTTCTCGAAAATTTAATTTGGCGCACATGTCAATATTGTTTTACAACAAGTAAACTATTTCACTATGATTTTTATAAACAAAAATGATATATACGTAAAATATTAACTAATAAACATTTAAATAATATTTATATATATGAAAGTGAATTTGCAGTTTCAGACACGAATTTGCAATTTAATTTTTGAGAAAACATTTTATTAAAGAATTATATTATATATATACTGAGAAAAATTATATTGAAAATATTTAATTTGGTAAAAAACTAAAAACGAAATCATCATATACAATTTTGCATAAATAAGTCAAAAATAATTATAAAATAGTAAAGAGTGATTTAGCTAGATATAGGGGTGGGCACGGATCGGATATCCGGGTTTTTTAAGGTATTTGTGATTTGCTTCGAATGTTACGGATATCTAATTTTGGTATTTGATTTGCTTCGAAAAAATACGGATATCCGGAAAAACGGATATCCGGAAAATAAATAGATATTTGCGGATATTTACGAATATTTACGGATATCTCATCAATTTTGATTAATACAAATAATCTTAAGATTTTGATACAAATTTGCTTTGCAAAAATATTTTTTTGCATGATATATAAAATAAAACTTAAAAGAACTAGTGAATTTATATATTTTGTAATTTATTTAAGCTTAAGTTACAATTATAATAACACAAAATTTAAGAAAAAAAATATAATTGTCATAATTTTCTTTCTTTCTTTTTATGTATTACTTTTATATAAGTAATAATTTGAATAGAATTGTTAAAAATCATATGCTAGAGTAATAATTATATAATTTTATACATTTAAAATGTTAAATATAATCAAGATATACATATATTTATATATTTACGGATCGGATCGGATATCCGCTTCCCAAAATTTTACTATTTGTGATTTGCTTCGATTTTAACGGATATTGAATTTTAGTATTTGCTTTGATTCGAAAGTTTACGGATATCCG